TCAGTTGTTGGACACTTAGGTTGTTTCCAAGATATGGCTATTAAAAATTGTGCTGCTATACACATGAGTGCACATATATCACTGTGGTATGATGTTTTCATTTCTTCTGGGAATATGCCTAGAAGTGATATAGCTGGAACACATGGGACTTCCAATCCCAGCTTTTTGTCTCCACACTGGCCTCCATAATGCTTGCACCAGTCTACACTCCCACCTAAAGTGAAGGACAGTTTCTTTTCCCCCACAGCCTCTCCAGCATGTTGGTGGTGGTTTTCTAGATCCTGGCCATTCTTTCAGGAGTGAGATGCAATCAGTGTGGTTTTAATTTGCATTTCTCTAATGAGTAATGATGATGAACATTTTTTCATGTATTTATTTGCCATTTGTATTTCTTCATCTGAGAAATGTGTATTCATCTCAGGTGCCTATTTTTGGATTGGATCTTTGAATTTTGGGGGCCTGAGTTTTTTAAATTCTTTGTGTGTTTTAGACAAAAGTCCTTTGTCTGAGGGACAGTTCACTAAGATTTTTTCCCAGTCTGTGAGTTTTCTTTTCACTATGCTGGAGATTTCTTTTGACATGTAGAAACATTTTAATAGGAAGTGATCGCAGTTATTGATTCTGGGAAGTATTTCCTGTGAAGTTTGGGTCCTGTTCATGAATTCTCTACTTACCCTATGTCTTCAGGGTTTTTACCCAATTTGTCTTTCAATAGATTTAGTGCTTCTGTTTTAATATTCAGATCTTTGATCCATTTAGATTTTAATTTAGTACATGGTGATAGCCATGGGTCTAGTTTTAGTTTTCGGCATATGGAGAGCCAGTTTTTCCAACACCTTTTGTTTAAGAGACTGTCCTTCTTACAGTGGACCTGTTTGGCCCTTTATCAAAGATGAAGGTGGTTGAGTGTGTTTGTAGTTGTGGTTGTATCTTCTAATCTTTTACATTGATCTTTGGCTCTGTTTTTATTCCACTACCATGTTGATTTTACTACAGTTGCTTTGTAGTATAACTTCAAGTCAGGGATTGTGATGCCTCCTGCCTTGCCTTTGCTGCTTGGAACTGTCTTTGCTCTTCTAGTTCTCTTCTCACCCCAGATGAATTTTACGAGTGATTTCTCGAGATCTATGAGGTACGTCGATGGTATATTTATTGGGATTGCATTGAACCTGTAAAACAGTTTTGGGAGAATGGCCATTTTCACAATATTTATTCTTCCTATCCATGAACAAGGGATGGCTTTCCATTTTCTGAGATCATCTTCAATTTCTTTTTTCAGTGTATTATAATTTTCCCTGTATAGGTTTTTCATTTCTTCTGCGAGAGTAGTTCCTAAATATTTCATTTTATTGGTTGCTAGTGCGAAGGGTGTGGCTTCTCTTATTTCTCTGTCAGCAATTTTGTTGTTAGTGTATAGGAATGCTATTGATTTTTTTGAATATTGATTTTGTATCCAGCTACATCACTGAATTTATTTATTATATTTAAGAGTCCTTCAATGGAGTTTTGGGGGTCTGCTATATAGAGTATCATGTCATCTGCAAACAATGATTATTTAACTTCTTTTCCTATCTTTACCCCTTTTATTTCTCTCCCTTGTCTAATTGCTCTGGCTCATATTTCCAGTACTATATTAATAGGAGCGGTGATAAGGGACATCCTTGTCTTCTACCTGATTTAAAGGAAAGGCCTTCAATTTTTGGCCATTTAATATGATACTGGCTGTTGGTTTGTTGTAAATGGCCTTTATTATATTGAGTTAAAGACCACCTATTCCTATTTTCGGTAAAGTTCTTATCATAAATGAAGGTTGGAACTTATCAAAGGCTTTTTCTATATTTATAGAAATGATCATGTGATTCTCACTTTTGGCTTTATTGATATGGTGGATTATGTTTATTGATTTATGTATGTTGAACCATTCCTGCATGCCTGGGATGAATCACACTTGGTCATGGTGTATAATCTTCTTGATGATTTGCTGCATTTGCTTCTTGATGATTTGCCAATATTTTATTGAGGATTTTTGCATCTATGTTCATTAGGGAGATTGGTCTGTAATTCTCTTTTTAGTTGGGTCTTTCTCAGATTTTGTTATTAGAGTAATATTTGCTTCCAGGAATGACTTAGTAGGATTGCTTCCCTTTCTTTCTTTTCCTTTTTTTTCTTTCATGGGTACCGGGGATCGAATTCACGACTGCCTGCTTGCAAGGCAGGTGCTTATGGCGCCGAGCTAAATCCCCAGCCCTGGATTGCTTCCCTTTCAATTTCATTGAAGAGTTTGAAGAGTGTCAGCATTAAGTCTTCTTTGTATTTTTTTTTACAATTCTGCAGTGAATCTGTCTGGGCCTGGGCTCTTCTTGGTAGGTAAGGACTTAATTACATTTTCAATTTCATTAATAGAGATTGGGTTGTTCAGCAGTTTTACATCTTCTTGACCTAGCTTTGGTACTTCATGTTTCTAGGAATCTGTCTGTTTCTTCTGTGTTATCAAACCTTTGAGAGTAGAGGTTTTTGAAATAGGTGTTGATGATCTTCTGTATTTCTATAGTCTGTGGTGATTTCGCCTTTTTCATTTCTTATTGCATGAATTTGACCTTTTTCTTCCCTTTTTTTATAAGGTTGGCTGGGGGTTATCAATTTTATTTATTCTTTCAAAGAACCAATTCTTTCATTCACTGATTTTTTGGACTGTTTTCTTAGTCTCTATTGCATTGATTTCTGCTCTCATTTTTATAATTTCCTCTCTTCTTTTGGCTTTGGTCTTGACTTGCTCTTCTTTTTGTTTGATGTTTGAGGTGTAACATCAGGTTATTTATTTGTATTTGTTCTGTTTTCCTGCTGTCAGAACTTGGTGCAATAAATTTTCCTCTGAGGACGGCTTTAATGCAACGCACACATTCTGGTTGTTGTAGTTGCATTTTTGTTTGCTTGTAGGTATTGTTTAATTTCATTTTTAATTTCCTCTGTGACCCACTGATTACTCAAGACTGTGTTATTCAGTTGTGTTTGTGGGACTTTTGCAGTATCTTTTATCATTAATTTCTAATTTCATAGTGCTACGATCCGATAACAGGCAAGGGATAATTTCAACTCCTTTGCATTTATTTAAACATGTTCTGTGAGCTAATATACGGTCTATTTTCGAGACTGACCCATGTACTGCTGAGGAGAATGTGTATTCTGACGTTGTTGGATGGAACACTCTGTATATATCGATCAAGTCCATTTGTTCACAGGTGTGATTCAGTTCTATTTCTTGGCTGATTTTCGTCTGGTTGATCTATCCTTTGGTGTCAATGGTGTGTTAAAGTTTACTGTTATAATTGTGTTACTGATAATTTGGTTTTTTATTTCTGTTAATTCTTGTTTTATACAATGGGGTGCTCTGGAATTTTGTGCATATATATTTAAGATAGTTATCTCTTCCTTTTGAAGTTTTCCCCTAACCACTATGTAGCGACCTTATTTATCTCTTCTGATCATCATTGGTTTAAAGTTCACACTGTCTGCAAACAGAATAGCTACTCCCACTTTTTTGCGGGGTGGGGGTGGAGGGTTCCTGTTGTGTGAGGTATTTTTTTCCATCCTTTAACTTTCAGTCTGTGAGTATCCTTTTGGGTTAGATGGGTTTCTTGTAGACAGCATATGGTTGGAATTTGTTTCTTAATCTATTCTGCCAGTCCATTTCTTTTAATTAGTGCATTGAGACCATTTACATTAATTCTTGTTATATGTTGGTTTATTGTTGACATGTTATCTTTCTGCTGTTGCATCTTTATCTTTCTGTTCTGTTGAACTATCTACTTTGCTTAGTGATTTTTTCCTAAGTGTGTTTAAACTGCAATCTTTGTAGGGGTGTCTTGGTGATCATGAAGTTCTTCAGCTGTTCTTTGTCATGGAAGTGTCTTATGTCTCCATCAATTTTGAAGGACAGTTTTGCAGGGTACATCATTGTAAGTTGGAAATCATTTTCCTTTAGGATCTCTAATACTTCACTCCATGCTCTTCTTTATTTTTTGTGCTGAGAAGTCTGCAGTGATTCTGATAGGTTTTCTTTTATAAATGATCTGTCTTTTCTCTCTGACAGCTTTAAATATTCTATTCTTATGTTGGATTTCTGGGATGGTGATTATTATATGTCTGGGTGTAGTTTTATTTTGGTTATGACTATTTGGAGTTCTGTATGTTTCACTGATCCTGATGTAGGTTTCCGATCTCATGTTTGGGAAATTTTCAGCTATTACTTCTCTAAATATCCTCTTGACATCCTTTATGTTGTCCACTTCTTTTGCATTTATCCCTATCAACCTTATGTTGTTTTTCTTTGTGTCATCTTGCAGTTGTTGAATTGTTATTTCCTGATTTCTTGTTATTTTTAAAAGATCTTTCCTTTCCTGTTTAGCAGCTGCAATCTTGTCTTCGAGGTCTGAAATTCTGTCTTCACTTTCATCGAGGTGGTTTTTACAGCTTTCAATGGAATTTTTGATTTCCTGTGTATCTCTGTGCAACTGCTTTATGTATTGTTATATTGTTCATTCAGTGATTGTTTTTATTTAGTTCCTCCAATTTTTTAACTGTGTCTTCTTTAGATATGTTCAGCATCTCTTTCATTTCTTCTTTTACCTGTGAGATTATTTCCAGTTTGAATTCCTTTAAAGCTTCTCAGAGTCACTTCTTTATTTCAGTTGCTATTATGTCTGCTATTTCAGGTGTATGGCATATATTTTCTTCTATGTACATCGCTCCTAAGGTCTCTGTGGTTGGGCTGGAAGTTTGAGATTGTAATTTGGTCTTTCATTCTGTCATTTTCCTATATTTCTGTGTTTCAAATTTTTCACCTGTTATTCCAAGGCTTCCCCAGGGCCTGTTGGAGATCCTTTTCTATGCCCTCTGCTCCTGGGACTGTGGCCACCCAGGTCCCCGGATCGAGAGAGGTTATCTCAGGGTGTGAGAGGCCAGCCCAAGCCCAGCACCCGGAACAGATTGTGCCCACTCACCCAGAACTCCAGAGTCTCCAAGCACAGCCAGGATTGGTGAGGCCACCCTCGGTCCGCCCAGGATCTGCCGGGCTGGTTCAGTGCACTGGGAAGCCACAAAGATCCCTCTCTTGGCTGAGCGAGGGTCCCAGACTAGCTGGACTTGGGGGAAAGTGCACGGGGCACTTACACCAGGCCGCCCAGCCTCTGGAACTGATGGCGCCCGATTGCCTGCTCAGAACTCCAGAGTCTGCCGAGCACTGCTGGGAGCTGGGAGGCTGCTGCAGGCCTGCCCAGGACGTGCCATGGTGGTGTGGCACACACCCAAAAACAATTTTCAAACCTACCAAATCTACATAGCTAAAATAATTTTTTGTGACCAGTTGTGCAAAGGATACAGGATTTTGTAAATGTAAATTATTAGCATCATGTTTTACCCTTCTTTTGAAGCTCTTGGAAAATTCCTGTCAAGAGTTTTAGTCTTTGTATTTGCTCATATATTAAATGATGGTGTAGCCAAGTAGCCTGAAGTTTTAGAAATGGACTTTTGTTTCTAAGACCGTGTCAGAGAAGCAGAGACTCATTTAAGGTATTGATGTTTTGCTGCCAGTTTCTCCACATACCAAACTTCAGTGTTTCTTGCTGTCTTTTAAATGAGATCTAACTTGTCTCCAGGTCATATAGAATAAAGGGGCTTTGCTAAAGACAACAACAGTGTCTTAGGTGATACTGGTTAGAAATTTGTCATTGGCTTTGGTAACTAACAACTAGAAAAAAGGTTTTTCAGGAACACTTGACTGTCCCAAAGACTGCAGTGTAAAGGTGCAGATGGGTGACAATTGTCTGTGTAGTGTGGTCATAGTATCACAAAGGCATATTCCAGGTCTGATCATCCTACCACCACCAGTGAGTGTCAGAATCATTTATCAGCCAAAGTTGTGGCCACTGGAAGACAAGTGTGTTATTTCAGTATTAAAGGCAGAATTGAAACGTAGGTAAATAGATCAGCAGTATGGGTAAGTGAACATCCTGGGAAAAGTGATTCTTCTGGGTTTGAAATGGGCCAGTACCAAAGATACATGAAAGAAAATTCCTGAAACTTAATTTCAGCTAGGATATTGGAGTGATCCTTTGTCCTACACTTTACAATCTCTTTTACTAATGCAGTTTAGTATAACCCACAGACTCTGACTGCTATTTTTTGATGCAAGTGATAATGAACCAGGGACTTTAAGTGATTAAGGACTGTAGCTTAACGATAAAACTTTTGACCAGCTACCTCACTGGAGTATTTATGACATGAAAAGAACTTGACTGTGATACTCCACGATATAATAGTGCAGAACAAATCTAGTGGTATACCTGAGTTACAGTATAGGATTCAATGTTGCTTTCCTTGCTGGGTTTTCGAAGTATATAATGGAGACAGTAAATATGCTGAACATGGTGGTGGTGGTGGTGGTGGCTAAGCTCTAATTCTGACAAGTATGTATAAAATAACTGGAATAAATCATTTAAAGTGCTATTGCTGGGGGAGGACACTGCTAGGAAGGTTCAGGTGGTGCAGGGTCTGTGCCATCATAACCTCCAATGTGTATTTTGAATGTACACTTGTATAAGAAACAAATTAGGGCACAAAGCTGGATGTCAGACAGAAGCCAGTCTCAGGACATGTGCAGCTTGCCCTGCATCTCGTAGAGTGAAGCTATGGCTGACTGCTGTCTCCAGATGTGAAGGGAGGGGCAATGAACCTTCCTCACAAAATAGGAGGAACTAATGAAGAGCTCATTCTGGCACATCTTTCCAGGTAACATTTGGAGTCCAGTGAGTTGAATGGTGTCTAGTTGGCATGCTTAACACAAGCCTTGCAGAGTTTCGGGATAGTTCTTTAACTGCAACTACAGGACTATGTTGTTCTCTGGCTGCTTTGTGTTTGTACTAGGATTATTTTACTGTTTGAAGTTACTTGGAAATCTGTGATTCCACTAGTTGTATGTGGAATGTAAGTATCTGTCAGCTAGCTCTTAGATCAAAGAGACAAATACCAGTGTCCTGACATCTGAGTCACCACAGGGCTTCAGAATCGGTAAGACAGAAAAACAAAAAGCAGATGTTAACCATGTTGAATGGGAGGATGCATTTCTGGTAAGAAAGTTTTGTATGGTTAAGCTCTTGTTCTACCCAGTTCAAAAAAGAAGAGAACAAAACCAGAGTTAAGTACAAAACACTGTGTGGAAGAACCTTATGAAAGTTTTTCGGTCTGTTTGTTTTTGCTATTCTTGGTTTTGCTACATCTGTGAGCTAATCTTTCTAAACCTTTGTTGTTCAAATATGGCTAGAAGGACAATGACATGACTTCTCAATCTCAATTTCCCCTCCAATGTGGGACCAGGTAAGACCAACAATCTGCATTCTACTGACAACTGAATAGAAATAATTATCAGTGATGTTTTTAGAGCAAATCTTATAAGGGAAGAATACACAGAAAGCACAGGAGAATCAATTTGACTCTTAACAGACTTGGCATTGGAGAATCTGGACTTTGACATTCATAGGTAGAGAATCTTACACTAGGGGTGTATTGCATAATCAGAGCACACCTTTCACAACACAAAGTTCACAAGGCTGCAAATGGTAAAGGGAGTGATACGTACTGTATCTTGTATCACTGTATAGTTGTTCATTGGTACAATTGGTACCCTCACTAGGTACCGAGACCGTGTGCCAGACTGCAGGACAAACGTTGTGCACTGACAGTGCTTGCTGAGACCAGCAGAGTTCCTCAGAAGGTTGGGATGGAAATGGAGCATGTGTCACGAAACTCATTACAAGGGCTTTTTCTCTTGCTTTAATGCTGATTGTCACAAAATCATATAAGTTCAGCAGCTTTGCAAAAGGGATAAGAAACTTCAAGAGTGCGCAGCATACAATCTGTCCTCCACTCTATTAACTACCCTTAAAAAACTCAGTTAGTTGTCAAGCTGTGCTTGTCTGAGTCATGTTTTGTATCCTCAATTTCAAGATGTTTATTTCACATCTTTGTGGCAAATTAGTGGAATAGTAGATGACTGACATCCAAAATCCCACTCAGCTCCATATATATGGATTAAACACAGGCATGCAACAGAAATGCTTTACCATTGAACTATGTCCCCAGAGTTTCTTTAGTTTCACTGGGTCTCATTAGTTGCCTAGTTGGCAATAAATGTGCTTCTGTTTCGCTCTACCAAGTAGCTGGGTTTATAGGTATGCACAGTGACATTAGGCTAAATTATTCTTTAATGCAAACAATATTTAATTATGTCCAAAGGAACATGGACAAGAGTTCACACTTCATGAGGTGAGGCCTTTCATTTTACTGATGCCTTTAGATATCACCATGAAAAGCCTGTAACAAAAGCATGTGAACACATTTCAAACTTCAGATTAAAGTTTAAATATAGGTCATCTTTCCAAAAAAAACTCAAGAGTATTTTATGACCTGAAAGTATCTGTACATTTACACATGTGCTTGCACCTTTTGACAAATATCATGAGTGTTAACACTGTTCAACTTGTAATTACACAAGTTTCACCTTGGACAGAGACTGACTTATTCTTCAAATTCCATAAAAAGCAATACATTTTAAGATTTGGTTAAATTTACCAGTGTTGTATCATTAAGATTTCTTTTCAGTACAAATTCTTTGGTGAATCCTAAGGACACATTCTTTAGGAATGAACTTTTTGTATTTTTTTTGAAACTGTAGCCCAGGCCAACCTCAGACTTATGGCTACCCTCCTGCCTTACCCTCTCAAGTGCTGGGGTTACAGGCATGTGCCACCATGCCTGACAACAATGACCCTTCTAAGGTCATTGTATGTCTGGTTTCACTCCAGAACAAATTCTTTTATGACAAAATTAACACTTGATGAAAGACTCACTGTATTCATTGTATCTGTAAGGCTGCTTTCCAGGTCACCTCTTCCATAGTTTTGATGCTTGGAAAAAAATCTTACTACATCCACTACCTTTGTACGACTTTCTCAAAGATAGAATACTTAATGGCTAGTGAATTTTGAGGCTTACAAGTCTCAGTGGTACATACATTATTGACTACTGTTCCTCTGTAGTATGAATTGGGATATTATTGCTTGACTTCATCATGGTTTTGCCACTTGCCTTGCATCTGTAAGGTATCACTCATGTACAAATTCTCCAGCGTTACATGTGATGTGTATTTGCACATTCATCTCATTTCCGTAGTCTCTCTTCCATATAGGTGATATGAAATGTGTTAAAGTGAGGACTGAAGACAAGATTTGCCAAACTGATTACATTTTTTTCAGGTTTTCCTTGAGAATTTACTGTATGATGTGGTCTGAAGCCTGAGTAAATAATAAAAGACCTGACACACTCTTGTTCCAGTTGTTAGGTTTGTTTCTGGCTTGAATTTTTTGAATACTAATGTTAAGATTTTCACCTGCAGGCACTGTTACACTGGTAAAGTTTCCCTCAACTATGCATTGTTAGTTATGTATTAAAAGACAACTCAAGGCTTGCCTTATTTATTCTATGTGGAAATTATTTTCCCAGCAGGAACTGTCCAATGTTTTTTAAGGATCAAACAGCGCCTGATGATTCCTGCCCATTTGCTTGTCAGATTTCTTTCCAGGTTGGTTATGTCCGATAAATTCCAAGTTAGGAACTGTTATAAAAGCCCTTGTCACTTTTTCCCAGTATGTGTTATTAGTCAGACTTATACACTAACACCTTCGCTAAACTCAGTGAATTTTAAGACTTTTCAACTCTTGGAATGCTTTGGTGCATAAGTGTAAAATTTGACTCAAGATCTTGGCAAATTCACTATTTTACTATGGTTTCTCTCAAGTATGACATCTCATATGACGTGCTAGGGATGAGTTTAGACTGAACACCTTGCTACATTCACTGCATTTATAAGGTTTCTCTCCAGTATGAATGCTATGATGACGCACAAGTTGGGGATTGCGACTGAACACCTTGCCACATTCATTACATTTGAAAGGTTTCTCTTCAGTGTGAATCATCAGGTGTTTTGCAAGATATGATTTACAACTGAACACTTTACCACATTCGTTACACTTGTAAAGTTTCTCTCCAGTGTGGATTGTTTGATGCTTTGCTAGAAATGACCTGCGACTAAACACTTTACCACATTCATTACATTTGTAAGGTTTCTCTCCTGTATGGATTCTCTGATGCTTTGCTAGAGAGGCTCTATGACGGAACATTTTACTACAGTAAATACATTTGTAAGGTTTCTCTCCAGTATGAATTCTCTGATGATTTGTGAGGTAGGACTTGTGCCTGAAGCCCTTGCCACATTCATTACACAAATAAGGCTTTTCTCCAGCATGTACTCTCAGATGTTGTACAAGGTAGCAATTGTGACTAAAGACTTTGCCACATTCATTACATTGGAAATGTTTCTCCCCAGAATGAATTCTATGGTGATTTGCAAGGTGTGACTTATGACTGAAGACCTTGCCACATTCATTACACTTGTAAGGTTTCTCTCCAGAATGCATTCTTTGATGATTTGCTAGGTTTGACTTTTGACTGAAGACCTTGCCACATTCATTGCATTTGTAACATTTCTCACCAGAATGGATTCTCTGATGATTTGCTAGGTAGGACTTCAGACTGAAGACCTTGCCACATGCATTACATCTGTAAGGTTTCTCACCAGTATGAATGGTCTGATGACGTATAAAGTTTGATTTCTGATTAAAGAACTTGCCACATTCATTACATTTGAAAGGTTTTTCTCCAGTATGGATTCTTTGATGGTTTGCTAAGTATGACTTTTTACTGAAAACTTTTTCACATTCACTACATTTGTAAGGCTTCTCTCCAGTATGCATTCTTTGATGATTTCTAAGGTTTGTTTTCTTATTGAAGACCTTGCCACACATATCACATAAAAATTGTTTTTCTCCAGCATGGACTACATGATGCACAGTAAAGCATGAACCTTGCTTAAAAGATTTGCCACACTCGTTCCATTTGTTTTTTTCTCTTTTAAATACCTCAATTTCAGGCAGATGTGACTGAAAGCTTACTCCAAGCCAATTTTTAGTATGTTTCTGTCCTAGATTCCTTCTACAATGTTCATCTCTTCTATCTGTGAGATTTTCATTGTGATTCACACAGAATGCTGTGTCAAGTTTTTCATCTTCTCTGCAATGACATTCAAAGTCATGTACATTTGTCTGGATTTCTCTGAAGCACAATTCTTGAATGTCATGGATTTTATGTGTTTCCAACCTTACTGTCTGAAACATTGCTCCTGTATGTCTTTTCCTTTCTGGTGGCATTTCTTTTATGACACATTTAGGAGAAGTATCTATGAAAGATAAGAAATCATTGGTTCTGATTAACTGTAGATGGTAAATGAATTCTGTTACTAACATACACATTATACCAAAAGAAATAATTACAATCGAGCAGTTATAGAACTCTATAGTTTTTACTTTTAGGAAAACAACTGGAGACATGCTCCAGTTGCAAAGTATGACAAAAACAATTACACTGCATAAATTAAGTGATCATGAAATTTTCATTGCACAAATTGGTAACATACACGTTTTTGTGATTATAGCACACTGGCCCATGGAATCTAATGGAAGATGGAGGCACGCAAATGAGACTTGAAATGAATCTTATCATAATAAGGACAACAGGTTATAGCGAAGGTACTTTTAAGTACTTACTATACAATAGTTACTCTTAACTATTTTGCACTATTTTGTAAAAAGCCTTGAAGATAACATTACTTTTCAATTAAGGATAACAGGGTAGTATCATTTATTTTCTAACCCTAATTTACATACAGTATGAGATAAACAGGATGTGATTGTTGGCGTGTAGGATCTGTCAACATGTTACCAACGATTCCTAGCCACACAGACAGTACATAACATAACAAGTCACAAGAGATACAAGAAGTATGGAAAGCAATATTTCAAAAGAAACAGAGGCGTTTCATTTCCCTTTGCTGTACCAGTGTCACTGAGCCATTCGTTGCTCAGAGACAACATTATCCAAATCATCAACACTGCACACATGGATTTAGGTGGTGTCCTGAGAACATCTAAAGGATGAGTATCTTTCATTACCCTGTGAGGTTAGTATGGGAGTCCTCTGCAAATTCAAGTGTACAGAAGAGATATAAACTAGAAGCAGCAGTACAATGAATCACATGAGGGAAGCCAGCCTGGGGAAAGACAGCAGCAGTTAACAGGTGAGACAGAACAGCCTGTGCTGGTGAGTCTATAGGGCTGTAATTGCACAAGTGAAAACCAAATGCAACAAGTGGCATAAGACTGTCCCATTCTTAAATACAGGAATGAGAGTTCAGGTGTGGGGGCAGAGCAGCAGAGAGTTAGCAGGTAGCAGTGGGATGGTGGGGAAGAAAGCAGATTTACATCTCCTAAAGTTCCTTTAATGAAACTTATCAAACTGAATGATTTGTATACTCTAGGTATATGTTTAACCAAATCATGTTTGTATATTATAAGAGATTATGGGCAAAAATATTCAAAGCAAGACCTGAAAGCAAAAACCTTGAAACAGCTAAGAGACAGTGTACTAGTTCTGTTTCCACTTAGAAATGCAATGTAACTTTTGTCTAGAGTACAGAAATCTAGGGAGAAAATAGCTACAAAGTGATGATTCTGTGGCTAACTAGACAGAGAAACCTTTGAAGAATCAAGTGTAGCATGAAGGTTATCCTTAGTCACATTAGCAAAACTGAAAAACAAAAGAAAAACACAAAAATAAAAATGAAAAAAGCTATTAACTATGGAGGATCCTCAGGCACTGCCATGGTATGGCTCAGTGATAGAGGACAACCCAAATCAGATAATTTGTCTTATCATTTGTTGCCAGAAGGCTAGTGATGGCCCAACTTTATGTCACAATGCATACATCATTCATAGTAGACAGGCATTTCTCACTGTAAGAAGAGTGAGAACAGGACAATAAAGTGTCTAAAAGACAAAGAGACTAATTGCCTATATTTAGCAGCAAGGTTTTGCTTTGCTGTTAACTATTGCCATTAATACCATACTGTACCTATTGTAAGTAAAAGTTTATCTTACTCATGTATGCACAGGAAAATGCACAATATATTAGGATTTGGTACTATTTGCAAGTACAGTTCCTCACCCGGGGTCTTGGGATGCATGCCACACAGTAATGAAAAATTATTGTAACCTATAATAGGGTAGAAAAATACTAAATGGAAAACAGTACTTGAGAAAATCCTGGAACTAAGGTTTTACATATGAAAGACTTAAAAAATGGATAAAATTCATAGCTAGATTAACTAAGAGAAAAACGGAAAACTCAGCTAATATCACAAAAAAGAGAAGGCACCTTATAAAAGTTGACTATGCAAAGGAATAGTAACAGAATTGTACAACACATACGATGACCAAGAAAAACATAAATGAAATTCTGTAATACAGAAACAGAAAACTCTGGAAGAGACCAGTAGCAAAGATATTCAATTTCAGTCACAAAAATCTCCCAAAAAAGAGAAAGACTGGACCCAGTGTTCTTAATAGAGAATCATTCCAAACATTTAAAGAACTAAAGCAATCTTCTTCTAACTTTTCTAAAATACTGAAAGCGGGAAGACACCACACTTGTTCTGTAAGACAGCATTATCTTAACAGAAAAGTCAGACCACGCCAGCAAACTAAAGACCAATACTATCTCTGCATACATTTGGTATAAAATTTTCAAAAGAATACTATTAAATGTACATTAAAATGGTTTATAAATCATGACCACGTTAGATGTAATCCTAGAATATAATGAACATTAATTTATGCAATGCATCACCATGAGCAGAATGAAAGAGTAAGAACCACATGATTGATCATTTTAGGTCACAGAGAAAAATTATTTCAAAAAGTCAATACCAGCTGCATCTGGTGGTATAAACCCAACACCTGGGAGGCTGAGGCAGAAGAATCACTGAGTTTTATTCAGGCCATATAACCCCACAATCTTGCGAGGCATGTACCCCCATAATGGAAAACATTCTTCAAGAGGTATTTGTAAACCCAAGCTCCTATCAGTGTTACTAAAAGTAGCCAAGGAATGGAAGCAAGTCAAGAGGATTCCTGAACTGCACTTGTGAACAAATGGACTTAATAGATATATACAGAGTATTCCACCCAACAACAACAGAATATACATTCTTCTCAGCAGTACATGGGTCATTCTCTAAAATAGACCATATATTAATTCACAGAACATATTTAAATAAGTGCAAAAGGGTTGAAATTACCCCTTGCATGTTATTGGACCATAGTGCCATGAAATTAGTAATCAACGACAAAAGATGTTGCAAAAATCCCACAAACACATGGAAACTGAATAACACACTCTTGAGTAATCAGTGGGTCACAGCGGAAATTAAAAAAGATATCAAGCAATACCTACAAACAAATGAAAATATAGATACAACTTACCGGAATCTATGGGATGCAATGAAAGCCGTCCTCAGAGGAAAATTTATTGCACTGAGCTCTCACATCAGGAAAACAGAACGAATACAAATAAATAACATGATGCTTCACCTCAAACAGCTAGAAAAAGAAGAGCAAGTCAAGCCCAAAGCCAAAAGAAGAGAGGAAATTATAAAAATCAGAGCAGAAATGAACGCAATAGAGACTAAGAAAACAATCCAAAGAATCAACGAATCAAAAAGTTGGTTCTTTGAACGAATAAATAAAATTGATAAGCCCCTAGCCAACCTTATTTAAAAAAAGGGAAGGAAGAGCTCAAATCCATGCAATAAGAAATGAAAAAGGTGAAGTCACTACAGACTCAATAGAAATACAGAAGATCATCAACACCTATTTCGAAAACCTCTACTCTCAAAGGTTTGAAAACACAGAAGAAATAGACAGATTCTTAGAAACATATGAAGTACCAAAGCTAGATCAAGAGGATGTAAAACTGCTGAATAACCCAATTTCTATCAATGAAATTGAACATGTAATTAATTCCTTACCTACAAAGAAGAGCCCAGGCCCAGATGGATTTACTGCAGAATTCTACAAGAAATACAAACAAGACCTAATACCGACACTCCTTAAACTTTTCAATGAAACTGAAAGGGAAGCAATTCTTCCCCAGTCATTCCTGGAAGCAAATATTACTCTAGAACCAAAACCCGGGAAAGACCCAACCGAAAAAGAGAACTACAGACCAATCTCCCTAATGAACACAGATGCAAAAATCCTCAATAAAATATTGGCAAACAGGATGCAGCAAATCATCAAGAAGATTATACACCATGACCAAGTGTGATTCATCCCAGGCATGCAGGGATGGTTCAACATACGTAAATCAATAAATGTAATCCATCATATCCATAAAGCCAAAAGTAAGAATCACATGATCATTTCCATAGATGCAGAAAAAGCCTTCGATAAGGTTCAACAATCTTTCATGATAAGAACTCTACAGAAAATTGGAATAGATGGTCTTTACCTCAATATAATAAAGGCTGTCTATGACAAACCAACAGTAAGTATCATACTAAATGGCCAAAAATTGAAAGCCTTTACTTTAAAATCAGGCACAAGACAAGGATGTCCTCTATCACCTCTCCTATTTAATATAGTATTGGAAGTACTAGCCAGAGCAATTAGACAAGAGAGAAAAATAAAAGGGGTAAAGATAGGAAAAGAAGTTAAATTGTCATTATTTGCAGATGACATGATACTCTACATGGAAGACCCCCTAAACTCCATTGAAAGACTCTTAGATATAATAAAAAAATTCAGTAATGTAGCTGGGTACAAAATCAATACTCAGAAATCAATAGCATTCTTATACACTAACAACAAAATCACAGAGAGAGAAATAAGAGAAGCCACACCCTTCACACTAGCAACCAAAAAAAATGAAATATTTAGGAATCACTCTTACAAAAGAAGTAAAAGACCTATACAGGGAAAATTATAATACACTGAAGGAAGAAATTGAAGATGATCTCAGAAAATGGAAAGACATCCCATGTTCATGGATAGGAAGAATAAACATTGTGAAAATGGCCTTTCTCCCAAAACTGTTATACAGATTCAATGCAATCCCAATAAAAGTACCATCAACATATCTTATATATATAGAGAAATCACTCCTAAGGTTCATCTGGAACCAGAAGAGACCTAGAATATCAAAAGCAATTTTAAGCAACAAAGGCAAGACAGGAGGCATCACAATCCCTGACTTGAAGTTACTACAAAGCAACTGTGGTAAAATCAACATGGTACTGGAATCAAAACAGAGGTGAAGACCAATGAAATAGATTAGAAGATACAA